GGGCGGGTGGATAGAGAAGGAAGAAATGACTGCACTGTGGAAATCCGTAGGCTTACACAAGCGGCAAATAAAGACAAACTCAGGATCTCCGGACTATAGTCCTAACAAACCTGGCAGAGTGTCCGGATCCTCGGGATCCTTCTTGTACATAGCGCGTAGAGACTGCAACCACTGCGCCATTAACCGCTCGTGCTTAACCTGTGACTTAGGGTATTGGGATTATTTAAACAGCTTCGCGCCATTGAGCGACGCGAGATCTTGGAGTCGGAAGTCAAGCCTCCCAATCAGCTCAACAACGAAGTCGCGCCCAAGCTTCAAACAGGAGCTGATGTCGCGTCCGCTGGTCTGCCCTTCTATAAGGTCTTCGTGCAGTATGTAGCGGTGAGTTGTTGGCGCTCCGGTAGCATCCGGGCCTGCAACCTGGACCTCCCGGCACTCCCCCGAGGCGTGTTTAGCGAGGAATGGCCCCGGAGCCTCGCCGGCCGCCCCGAACGTCTCGTCGTTGCTGTCGAGGTAACGATTCCGCAGCAGGAGGGTCGTGTTGTGCACCGTCTGCAGCACATGGGTTGCGTCAATCTGCACACGAATGAGGGCACAAAGTAGTTTAGTCTTGTTCAAACAGCAGGGTTTGGAGCTTGAACCAGAAACCGAGTCACGTACCTGTCGTCGCTGGAACTTCATGTTGAGCAGGTTCAACTCCTTCAACATGTCGGCAAGCAAATAGAGTAAGAAATGAATCTTGAAACTAGTCACTACAGCATACATCTTACTGTCGAATTCCCGCAAGACGATCACAACTGCGGGAAACACCGCCACGAGTCGCTCTATCGCCTGGCCTCCAGAAAGCCACCCGACGTCTTTAATCCCCTGCATCTCTAAATGCGTCTCGCAAATAACTTCTTGGAGCTCCTTGAAACGAGTATGAACGACAAGGCGCCCGAGAATGTCGGCCACAGCTTGGACCACTTTGTCAACGATCTGGAGGTCGGGAAATGCGAGCGCCGCGTCCTTAGCAGCCAGCGCCTCCCTGCAAGGTCAAGCAAAAACAAGTCAGTACAAGCTTTTCAAGGAAGCTCCGACACAAAACCCTAAACCCTAACTCGCCTGTGAGCGACACAGTGACACGACACGAGATGGGGAATCTTCGACCGAAGGCGCGCGACCAACCCGTTGTGCTGGCCCGTCATCACACTGGCGCCGTCCGTGCTCATACCGCTAATTCGCTGCAGGTCGATGCCCGTTGTCTCTAGATGCGTGAGCAGAACCGTCTACAACGAGGCGGCGTCACACTGCTCGACTGTGAGCAGGGCGTAGAACTCCGTGACAGGAAGGTTGTCGCGTAGGAACGTCATGTATACGATCATGTTCTTCCCGCGCCTTCGGTCCGTGCTCTCGTCCAACTGGATCCCGAGATAAGGGCTGGCGCGGATGTGCTTCAGCTGACGGGAGCGCAAGAACCACGCCATCGTTTCCACAAGCTGAGCAAACCCGTACCTGAAAAACGCATAAACAAAGACATGAGGATTGTGTAGCGGAAAATCAGTGGCACGTTTGGCTTACATAATCCATTCACTCACTCGCTGTAGTACGTGCCGTTCTCCTTCTTCAAGGGCATGTCAAGAGTTCCCTGTTCAGCCATGAAATGAACAAGAGCCACGAAAAGCACAATGGGTGCGTCAGATTTGCAAATGAGCAGGGCGATTGCCATTAAACGTGCAATTCGCTTGTCGTCGTCGTCGCCCTTGTCAAATTCGACGATGGACTTCTGGCCTTTCTTCAGGCCATCTCGTTGTTCCTTCTCCCGCACCGCTGCCTCGTGCTTAATGCTGTGGTGATGCTTACGCATCGTCTGTTTTTGAATGTCGATGCCGCCTTCACCGTAGCGGCCGTACTTGTAGTGCGGGTCCCCCAACACCATGCAGACGTTGCAGCGCATAAAAGGTCGGCCGTCCTTTGTCTCACTGATGTAGAGCCACGGGAAGTAGCGGAGCCACTGCTCCATACACTTGAGCTGCAGCTCTTCCACAGACAGCTGCCGCCGTTTCCCGCTGACATCCTTCTCCTCGTCTTCGTCATCGTCGTCATCGGCGGATTGACGAGTCGCTGGCGGGATCGTCTCCGTTGGCGCGGGCATTGTAGGACCTGCGGGACGGGCAAAGTTAAGCTTCCGCTGCTTGTATTTAGCTTTCAGTGAAGCCCTGTCAGGCAGCACGGGGTTAGTTCGTAGAGTGGTGGTTGTTGCTACCGAAACACCAGGGCGTTCAGATTCACGGCCGGAGGTAGGGAAACTCGTCGATATGGGCGTGGTAGCGTTAGAGGAGGAGGGCATGCCATCGTCAATCGGTTCCACAGACAAAGTGTCTGGCGAGGCATTGACTGGCGGTGGAGCCTGGGCAGAGGACGAGGCAACGGGGGGTGCAGCGATGGGGATCTGCTTGCCCCGTGTGAGAAAATCCGGTGCTGTGATTCTAGGGGGGTCTTCCTTCTCTGAAATCGCCATCGGGAGCTCTAGTTGCAAAGAAAAAAACTGAATTGCAAAAAAAAAGACTGCAGTGGAAGATAAGGATGAGGAAGGAGGGTGTGTCCCCAGCCTGGTCCCTCAAACCCTCGTCTCGAAGCGCGTCAGAGTGATGCGCTGTGCGGGGTGTCGGCCGGGAAACGCAGTTACGTGCATGCGTGATGCATACACAACAGTCCCCAGCTGGCTTTTTGTTCAAGGAAAGGACTCCCATGCACAAAATTACAGTGTCGCTGCTTTGGTGTGGCTGGCACCGGCGCCGACACCCACGCAGCGACAAAGTGCTGGCAGCTTCTGACTCATAACTGCTGCCAGCGGTGTTGGTTTCCTCCAGCGAGGATGCTACGAGACAAGATTTTTTCACGCATGCATGTATACAGGCTGGCAGGAACCGTAATAAGTGGGCCTATGGCCCAGTGGGCAGAAATGTCGGTTTCAGACGGAAACGTACTCGTTATCTGGAAACTCAGATGAAGAATAGGGTAGGGTCTTAAATTTCATATGAGGTAAAAACATTTGTCTTACTGATCAGACGGCCATAAAATTGAAGTCTTACAGATCAGATGAACAAAGAAAACCACACCCCTGCCAGCTGCGCGACAAAGAAAACAATTGAAAACATTTGAAAATCAGACTATCAGACCGAATTGGTCTGATAACCACACCCCTGCCAGCTGCGCGACCCACTTCAACTTCTCGGCGGCAGTATTGTCATAATGTATTTGCTGTTTAGCCTGCAATGGGGTACTCTGTAGTGAGTACAATCCAATTTAGGGTTTGCTATTTGTATCCCAACTTTCTATAGTGAAACCCCACATTCTCCTTTCCAATTCTCTCGACACTCAATCCTCTCGACACTCACTAGCCATGGCTCCTAAGTCACGCTAGGATTCTAACATGGTATTAAGAGCAATAGTTCCTAGGACCTCACATCAATGGGCCCACCACCTAATGCCCTGCTAGCCTAGGCCCCGGCCCGTCGCCCCTTGGCGTCGCCCCTAGCCCCTAGGCTCGGCCCCTTGGCCCCGTCGCCCCTAGCTCGGCCCCTCGGCCCCGCTGGCCCCGTCGATTCCGTCGCCCGCACCCGGCCCGTACCTAGCCCGCGATCAGCCCGTAATTAGTCCGCGATCGGCCCGTACCTAGCCCGCGATCGGCCCGTACCTAGCCTCGCGCTCGGCCTTCGTTCCGCGCCCAACGCCCGGCCCCGTACCTAGCCCGCGCCCGGCCCGTACCTCGCCCGCGCCTGGCCCCGTCCCTAGCCCGCGCCCGGCCCGTACCAAGCCCGCACCTGGCCCCGTCCTTCGCCCAGCGCCCGGCCCGTACCTAGCCCGCGCCCGGCCCGTACTTAGCCCGCGACCGGCCCGTACCTAGCCCGTCGCCCGGCCTCGTCCCTAGCCCAGCGCCCGGCCCAGTACCTAGCCCGGGCCCGGCCCCGTACCTAGCCCGCGCCCGGCCCCGTACCTGCCCAGCGCCCGGCCACGTACCTGCCCAGCGCCCGGCCCCGTCCCTTACCCAGCGCCCGGCCCCGTACCTAGCCTCGCGCCCGGCCTCCGTTCCGTGCCCAACGACCGGCCCCGTACCTAGCCCGCGCCCGGCCCAGTACCTAGCCCGCGCCCGGCCCCGTACCTAGCCCGCGCCCGGCCCAGTACCTAGCCCGCGCCCGGCCCCGTACCTAGCCCCGCGCCCGGCCCCATTCCGCGCCCAACACCCGGCCCCGTACCTGCCCAGCGCCCGGCCCCGTACCTGCCCAGCACCCGGCCCCGTACCTAGCCGCGCCCCTCGGCCCCACTGGCCTCGTCGCCCCTAGCTATGGCAAGAGGGGTGATGACTTCCCGCCCGCGTGCCCTGCAGTCGCACGCGCAGCTCCGCCCCCGCCCCCCTCCCCCCCCTCCCCCTCCTCCATGGGGACGGGGGGGAGAGGGTGTGAGGGGGTGGCGGATGTGCCTCAGCAGCAGCAGCTGCCGCCGCGCCTCCTCCTCTATCTCTCCCTGCCGCACCCTGTGTTGGGAGAGGGGGGGGAGCTTGGAGGTTCAGAGGGAGGCAGGAGGGGATCTGCAGCACCAGCCCCCCCCGCCCCCCCCCCTTTCTCCTCCACCCCTGCTGCGGGTGCAGCAGTGGGGGGGAGGGGATCTGCAGCAGCAGTGGGGGAGGGGATTTGCAGCATCAGCCCCCACCCCCCCCGCCCTTTTCTCCTCTCTCTCTCCCTGCCGCACCCTGTGTTGGGAGGGGGGGGGGAGCTTGGAGGTTCAGAGGGAGGCAGGAGGGGATCTGCAGCACCAGCCCCCCCCGCCCCCCCCCCCCCTTTCTCCTCCACCCCTGCTGCGGGTGCAGCAGTGGGGGGGAGGGGATCTGCAGCAGCAGTGGGGGAGGGGATTTGCAGCATCAGCCACCCCCCCCCCCCCCTCCCCCCCCCCCCCCGCCCTTTTCTCCTCTCTCTCTCCCTGCCGCACCCTGTGTTGGGAAGGGGGGGGAGCTTGGAGGTTCAGAGGGATGCAGGAGGGGATCTGCAGCACCAGCCCCCCCCGCCCCCCCCCCCTTTCTCCTCCACCCCTGCTGCGGGTGCAGCAGTGGGGGGGAGGGGATCTGCAGCAGCAGTGGGGGAGGGGATTTGCAGCATCAGCCCCCCCCCCCCCCCCCCCGCCCTTTTCTCCTCTCTCTCTCCCTGCCGCACCCTGTGTTGGGAGGGGGGGGGGAGCTTGGAGGTTCAGAGGGATGCAGGAGGGGATCTGCAGCACCAGCCCCCCCCGCCCCCCCCCCCTTTCTCCTCCACCCCTGCTGCGGGTGCAGCAGTGGGGGGGAGGGGATCTGCAGCAGCAGTGGGGGAGGGGATTTGCAGCATCAGCCCCCCCCCCCCCCCCCCCCTCCCCCCCCCCCCCCCGCCCTTTTCTCCTCTCTCTCTCCCTGCCGCACCCTGTGTTGGGAAGGGGGGGGAGCTTGGAGGTTCAGAGGGATGCAGGAGGGGATCTGCAGCACCAGCCCCCCCCGCCCCCCCCCCCTTTCTCCTCCACCCCTGCTGCGGGTGCAGCAGTGGGGGGGAGGGGATCTGCAGCAGCAGTGGGGGAGGGGATTTGCAGCATCAGCCCCCCCCCCCCCCCCCCCGCCCTTTTCTCCTCTCTCTCTCCCTGCCGCACCCTGTGTTGGGAGGGGGGGGGGAGCTTGGAGGTTCAGAGGGATGCAGGAGGGGATCTGCAGCACCAGCCCCCCCCGCCCCCCCCCCCCCTTTCTCCTCCACCCCTGCTGCGGGTGCAGCAGTGGGGGGGAGGGGATCTGCAGCAGCAGTGGGGGAGGGGATTTGCAGCATCAGCCCCCCCCCCCCCCCCCCCTCCCCCCCCCCCCCCCGCCCTTTCTCCTCTCTCTCTCCCTGCCGCACCCTGTGTTGGGAAGGGGGGGGAGCTTGGAGGTTCAGAGGGAGGCAGGAGGGGATCTGCAGCACCAGCCCCCCCCGCCCCCCCCCTTTTCTCCTCCACCCCTGCTGCGGGTGCAGCAGTGGGGGGAGGGGATCTGCAGCAGCAGTGGGGGGAGGGGATTTGCAGCATCAGCCCCCCCCCCCCCCCCCCCCACCCTTTTCTCCTCTCTCTCTCCCTGCCGCACCCTGTGTTGGGAGGGGGGGGGAGCTTGGAGGTTCAGGGGGAGGCAGGAGGGGATCTGCAGCACCAGCCCCCCCCAGCTCCCCCCCCCCCCCCCCACTTCTCCTCCATCCCCCTGCTGCGGGTGCAGCAGTGGGGGGGAGGGGATCTGCAGCAGCGGTGGGGGGGAGGGGATCTGCAGCCCTGTGCTGCCCTGCAGCCCTGCGCGCCCTGCGCACCCTGCTGCCATGCGCGCCCTGCGCGCACTGCAGCCCTGCGTGCCCCGCGCGCCCTGCTGCCCTGCAGCCCTGTGCACCCTGCTGCCCTGCAGCCCTGTGCGCCCTGCTGCCCTGTTTGCCCCTCTCGCCCTGCTGTCCTGCTGCCCTGTGCGCCATGCGCGCCCTGCAGCCCTGCGCGCCCTGCTCCCCTGCAGCCCTGTGCGCCCTGCTGCCCTGCTGCTGCCGCTACAGCCCTTGCTGTTGCCACTACAGCCCTTGCTGCTGCCCTGCGCGCCCCGCGCGCCCTGCAGCCCTGCTGCGCCCCGCGCGCCCTGCTGCCCTGCTGCCCTGTGCGCCCCGCGCGCCCTGCAGCCCTGCGCGCCCTGCGCGCCCTGCTGTCCTGCTGCCCTGCGCGCCCTGCGCGCACTGCAGCCCTGCGCGCCCTGCTGCCCTGCAGCCCTGTGCGCCCTGCTGCCCTGTTTGCCCCGCGCGCCCTGCTGCCCTGCAGCCCTGTGCGCCCTGCTGCCCTGCTGCCCTGTGCGCCCCGCGCGCCCTGCAGCCCTGTGCGCCCCGCACGCCCTGCAGCCCTGCGTGCCCCGTGCGCCCTGCTGCCCTGCAGCCCTGTGCGCCCTGCTGCCCTGCAGCCCTGTGCGCCCTGCTGCCCTGCTGCTGCCGCTACAGCCCTTGCTGTTGCCGCTACAGCCCTTGCTGCTGCCCTGCGCGCCCCGCGTGCCCTGCAGCCCTGCTGCGCCCCGTGCGCCCTGCAGCCCTGCGCGCCCTGCTGTCCTGCTGCCCTGCGCGCCCTGCGCGCACTGCAGCCCTGCGCGCCCCGCGCGCCCTGCTGCCCTGCAGCCCTGTGCGCCCTGCTGCCCTGCTGCCCTGTGCGCCCCGCGCGCCCTGCAGCCCTGTGCGCCTCGCGCGCCCTGCTGCCCTCTGCACGCGCCATGCACACCCCCCCCCCCCCCCCCCCCCCCCCTCCCTCCCTTCTCCTACCTCCCCCTGCTGCGGGTGCAGCAGTGGGGGGGAGGGGATCTACAGCACCAGCCCCCCCCCCCCCGCCCCCCCTTCTCCATCCCCTGCTGCAGGTGCAACTGCGGAGTGGCGGGTGTGTGAACCGTCCCCTCCTCCTCCTCCACCTTCGTCTCCCACTGCTGCAGCTGCCGCTGAGGGGGGTGGGTGTGTGGGAGCCGAAGGATTGGTGCTAGGGGGGTGACGTGGGAGTGGAGCTAGGGGTGCAGCAAGGGGTGTGTGTAAGGTGAGTGGGACAGTTGGGGGAGGTTGAGCGGAGGCTGCCGTCTTGTCGTCCGCAGCACCTGTAGTCCGGGGCTTTGCTTCTGGTAGCTCAGAGAGCCTGCTGCGCCTGTCGCCTGTGGGTCCGTTGCTCCTGCCGCTCAGAGTTAGCCGCAGAGCCAGTTACTCCTGCAGTACGGGGATACGGCCCTGGTAGCCACAGTGCGCGCCGCTCCTGTTGCCCGAGAGTCTGCAGCATCAGCAGTCGCCTCCTATCTACTCTCCTCTTACAGTCCAGCCTCCTCCTCACTTGCCCTTTGTGAATGCCTCTAGCTTTGCTTGTACTTGTGAACCTGCTCTATGACTGCTTGCTCTGCTGATTATACCCCACTTTGACTATGGGGGTGTGTCAGAATGTATTTGCTGTTTAGCCTGCAGTGGGGTACTCTGTAGTGAGTACAACCCAATTTAGGGTTTGCTATTTGTATCCCAACTTTCTATAGTGAAACCCCTCATTCTCCTTTCCAATTCTCTCGACACTCAATCCTCTCGACACTCACTAGCCATGGCTCCTAAGTCACGCTAGGATTCTAACAAGTATAGGCCTGGCGCTTGTGGTCGTTGGGCTTGTGCCTGGGAGAGGGGGGGCGAGAATCACGGTTCTGTGAAGAAGGGTGAGGTCGCTTTCGATTACGTGGAGGATAAGTTGGTATCGGGAGTTTCTCGGGGAGGCCATCGCGTGACCAGTATTCGACGCCGTCGTCGTCGTACCCTCGGGAAACACATCCTCAGCAGTGCCGGCCTCAGTAGCGGCCTCGGTTTCGGCCTCAATGCCACCCTCGGCGCCGGCGTCGCCCTCAGCGCGCCAATCTTCCTCGGCGTCTTGCACGTCGTCGTCAGCGCCGACTGCAGATTCGTCCCACGTGAAATCTTCTGGCTGGCCCCAACGTGGTGCTGGCGCTGGAGCGGGTACGTCAACAACGGGGCCCTTGTCATAATCCGGTTCCGACAGATACTCGTCGAACGCCGATGGGAGCAGGAGCGTGAGCACGGGGTGGTTGTCGATGTGAGGGGCCACCGGACACGGAGGAGATGGAGGAACAGGAGGAGCGGGGGGAGTCGGAGGCACTGGTGGCTCTGGAGGGTCTGGAGGTATGCGGCTATACCACCCGTCAGCTGTAACACGGTACGCGGGCCTACTGGAAGGTATTTTCTTGAAGAGAAAATGAGTGCCTGTGAATTCCGCCATGGCTTCCGCAGCCAGGCGGGCGAGAACAAGAAGACTGAATAAAAAACTGCAACCCTGGGTGTTGAAATGGGAGATTGAAGGGGACCCCTTCTGGTTTGCGGCTCGGGGTCCTCGTCGATGAGAGACGAGTACACCCCTGCCCCAACCCGCAGAGGAGGGTTGGGGGCACCATCCATGCTGCGCTGGCACGGCAGATTCCATCACGTTCTGGATGGTTCTGCCGAGATGCTCCTGCCTGGCAGCGCATGCCAACCTGATTGGGCCGCACGGCAGGTTTTGCATCAGCGCTGGCAGGTGCGTTGCACCGGGACGGGTTTTGTGCGGTGGGAAATCGAACTGTGGCAAGTTTCGCTGTCATTCCATGCACGACCCCGCGCGCATGGTACAGTGTTGTATTCGCCTTATTGAGGGCTTCAGAATGATATCCTTTTTAGTGAAATTCAGTTTTGCCTTTATAAAAGCGCCGGCGCTTATGGCCGTTACTCAATTACAAGCGCCCCCCCTAAAAAAAATGAATTTATTATAAGCGCATATGCGCTACTATCCGGGGTATTACGGTACCGTATGTTAGCTTGCAAATGACTTACGCTGCATCTGCAGAATTCACTACTACAGTACATGTACAGTTTATATCCCTAGTTACACTACTAATCTCATACCTAGCATACCCTGCCTTTCAAACCATAAAGCCAAAAAGCGGGTCATAACAGCATTAGAAGTATATAGCTAGGTGGGGCACTGCTGTAGTAACTCCTACACCAGTCCGCAAGGAAACGCTGCCAACTGCTATGATGTCCCCCTCACAACCTCGGCTTGTGTGACGCCTCAAAAGCAATACGTTAGTCTTTTGAGATACCGCCAGTACCACTGCTGTCACCACCTCCACTGCTCTTGTCCCCCCCAAAAATCCCCAAGCAAGGTGGCGGTGTGTCAACAGTGTGCCATTTGCTTTTGCACGTCTCTTTGGGCTCATCTTGACAGCTCCACAAACACCTCTTTGCCCGTATGCCTTCACGTAATGAGATGTCTCAAAACGAAATTCTGAGACGTCTCAAAACTTGTTAGACTTGCCTTGGCAGCTCCACAAACACCTCTTCGCCCGTATGTCTTCAGGTAGCTGCATCTGCTGCTCACCCTTGGTGCGGATCAATCACAAACCTCTGCATCATCATGCCTGCGCCAAAACTCACTTGTACACAATCACATCTCCTGCCCATTCCCGTCAACACAATCACATCTGCGCACACTTGCCCTCGCTGAGCTTGTTCACAGCCCAGAAAAGACGGAAGCTGCCCTCCAGCTCGCCAGCTGGTAGGCCCTTATAGGTCACCTCTACCCGGAAGCTGACTGGCTGAGAGGACTGCTCCCACGTGGCCTTGACAAGATCAGCCAGTGGGACTGCGGCATATCCTGGTGGGGGCAATCAATAGAGGTGGATCGGTAAGAAAACCAGTGGCTGTGCCTTTTAGCATCGTATTTCTTATTTTTCCAATGATAAAAAATTGATGGCCTACGTGATTGGCAACAGACCAGCATCGTATAGTGGGTATGACCTGTAAAAGGTACAGCTTATAGCGGATACAGCCACTAGCAAGTACAGATGGGCACACATGGGCGGATAGGGCTACCACATACCTATAGGGTCGCCCTTGTTGGTCTTATCACAATCAAACACGGCTGCTAGTAGATAGTCTTCCCCTTAACACATCACATCTGCCGGCCATTCCCCTCAACACAATCACATCTGCCGGCCATTCCCCTCAACACAATCACATCTGCCGGCCATTCCCCTCAACACAAGCACATCTGCCGGCCATTCCCCTCAACACAAGCACATCTGCCGGCCATTCCCCTCAACACAATCACATCTGCCGGCCATTCCCCTCAACAGAATCACATCTGCTGGCCATTCCCCTCAACACAAGCACATCTGCCGGCCATTCCCCTCAACACAATCACATCTGCCGGCCATTCCCCTCAACACAAGCACATCTGCCGGCCATTCCCCTCAAGACAATCACATCTGTCGGCCATTCCCCTCAACACAAGCACATCTGCCGGCCATTCCCCTCAACACAATCACATCTGCTGGCCATTCCCCTCAACACAAGCACATATGCCGGCCATTCCCCTCAACACAATCACATCTGCCGGCCATTCCCCTCAACACAAGCACATCTGCCGGCCATTCCCCTCAACAGAATCACATATGCCGGCCATTCCCCTCAACACAAGCACATCTGCCGGCCATTCCCCTCAACACAATCACATCTGCCGGCCATTCCCCTCAACACAAGCACATCTGCCGGCCATTCCCCTCAAGACAATCACATCTGCCGGCCATTCCCCTCAACACAAGCACATCTGCCGGCCATTCCCCTCAACACAATCACATCTGCCGGCCATTCCCCTCAACACAAGCACATATGCCGGCCATTCCCCTCAACACAATCACATCTGCCGGCCATTCCCCTCAACACAATCACATCTGCCGGCCATTCCCCTCAACACAAGCACATCTGCCGGCCATTCCCCTCAACACAATCACATCTGCCGGCCATTCCCATCAACACAAGCACATCTGTGCACACAATCATACCTATAGGGTCGTCCTTGTTGGTCTTATCATAATCAAACACGGCTGCTAGTAGATAATCCTTCTCGTAGTAATGCAGTGACTGGTGCTCCAACACTATAGCGGGTACATCCTATAGGGTGTTGCAACGGGAAGGTGATTGGAAGGGAGTGGGAGTGGGACTGAGGGCGAGAGAGGAGGGGAGACGGAGAGAAAGAGGGGGCGAAGGGGGATGTCAGTAAGAATGCTCGTGGTGAGAGCCTCAACCAGGACTCAGGAGCCAAGCTCACTCACATTTAGGTGCACATTCAGACGACTTTTGAGGCGCCTCAAAAGACCTCAACTAAGACTCAGGTGCCAAGCTCGCTCATATTTAGGTGCACAATAAGACAACCCAAGAGGATTCTGCCTCCGTTTACAGCTCTAGACAGGTCGAAATGTTCATAAGGGATTCCACAATTACATACAGACTATGCAGTCAGCTCGCAACAACAAGAGCACCTGCAGAAACCAACACAGGGGTTGATGGGAAACCAACATAGCCTTTCCCAGCACTCACATAACACGAGGTTGAGTGACTTCTAGCCTGGTGAACGGACCGCTTTGAAAATGTTGCCAGCACAACCGCTCCCTCCCCTACTACCCCTCCCTCCACCACTCCCACAGTCCCACCACGCCCACACTCCCACCACCACTCCCACAGTCCCACCACGCCCACACTCCCACCACCACTCCCACAGTCCCACCACGCCCACACTCCCACCACCACTCCCACCACGCCTACACTCCCACCACGCCTACACTCCCACCACCACTTCCACACTCCCACCACACCCACACTCCCACCACCACTCCCACACTCCCACCACACCCACACTCCCACCACCACTCCCACACTCCCACCACCACTCCCACCACGCCCCACACTCCCACCACCACTCCCACACTCCCATCACGCCCACACTCCCACCACCACTCCCACACTCCCACCACCACGCCCACACTCCCACCACCACTCCCACACTCCCACCATCACTTCCACACTCCCACCACCACTCCCACACTCCCACCACCACGCCCACACTCCCACCACTCCCACCACTCACATCAGCGCCCCACACGGGGTTGAGAGTCTTGTAGCACTTCTTGGTGAATAGCTCGCATTGAAGGTGCTGCTGACACAACCCCAGAAATCACATCAGCGCCACCTCTCTGGCAGCACTCCCAGCACTCACATCAGCGCCCCACACAGGGTTGAGAGTCTTGTAGCACTTCTTGGTCTGGAAAGACTTGAAGAGGTTGGGACCCACAAAACGGATGTAGCTGAACGGGGCGTGTGCGTGAGGGGGAGAGAGTGAGGAGAGATTCAAGAGAGTGAGGAGAGATTCAAGAGAGTGAGGAGAGATTCAAGAGAGTGAGGAGAGATTCAAGAGAGTGAGGAGAGATTCAAGAGAGTGAGGAGAGATTCAAGAGAGTGAGGAGAGATTCAAGATACAAGCGAGCAGAGAGAAAGAAGAGCAGAGAGAAAGAAGAGCAGAGAGAAAGAAGAGCAGAGAGAAAGAAGAGCAGAGAGAAAGAAGAGCAGAGAGAAAGAAGAGCAGAGAGAAAGAAGAGCAGAGAGAAAGAAGAGCAGAGAGAAAGAAGAGCAGAGAGAAAGAAGAGCAGAGAGGGCAGCGGGGGCAGAGAGGGTGGAGAGGGTAGAGAGGGTAGCGAGGGCAGAGAGGGGAAGAGCGAAGGCTACTGATGGCATAGCAGGAAATATAGCAAAGGCTATGGTATTTTTTGAAAAATGGATGCAGCAGCAAGACAGGGCAAAGAGAGTGGAGGACAGGGAAGGAGGTGGTGGAGAGGGCAGGGCGTGGGGGGGAGGGAAGGAGGTGGGCAATAGGGCTTTGTGGAGGGGCAGGGAAGAGGTGAAAAGGTAAACCAGGGTAGTGCAGGGGAGTGGAGATGGGTGAAGGGGGTTGCTGGAAGGTGCAGGGGAGTGCTCAGGGGATTCCTCAGGGGAGTCCTCAGGGGAGTCCTCAGGGGAGTCCTCAGGGGACGAGAAGGTGCTTAGGGAGAGAGGTGACTCACGGGTCAGACAAGCCGTTGGCGTCTGCTGGGAGGAGGTTGTGCCCCCTCAGTTCCAAGATCTGATGGGCGGAGGATGGGGAGGGGAGACAGAGGTATGGGGAGAAGAGAAGAAAGCGTTTAGGGTCATGTCAGTGTGTGTGACAAGCCGTTTGCGTCTGCAGGGAGGAGGTTCTGCCCCCTCAGTTCCACGATCTGATGGGCAGGTGATGTGGAAGGATGGGGCGATGGAGGCACGGCACGGGGGAGATGTGGGTAGACATGTCAGTTCGTGTGAACAGGTGTTGGCGCCATGACATGCAATGCAGCCACGCATGACTCACATGCAATGCAGCCACGCATGACTCACATGCAGGGCATGCAGCAGAACTCGCCCTCGCCCTGAGAAGCAATCACTCACATGCAGGTGCCAGCGCATGTCGTCCTTATCGCTGTGCCCCTTGCTCAGCTGCAGCAGCTGCACGGCGTCCTCTGAGGGATCCATGGTCACTGGGAGCGCGTATGTGGTGATGTCAAACTCTGCCAGCACCGGCTTGTGATCGCTGCATGGGGAGCGTGGGGCGGGGGAGGGAGGGGGGGGGAGGGGGGGGGTTTGATGCCAGAGCGACAGAGAGGGGGAGCATTGATGCCCTAGCTTCAGCTGCGGTCAAACTCCGCCAGCACTGGCTTGTGGTCGCTGCATGCATGCATGCATGGATGCATGCACGGGCAAAAGACGGCGACAATGGAGCGGGGGGGATGAGTGTCAGGGAGTTTCGTTCGGACTTGTGCAAATGGGGCACCTCAGACAGACACAGCCTACCCGGTGAGAATGGTGGGCGCAGAGGTGCATCTGGTGCAGGTGAGATTGTAGCCAGGCAAAGGCAGGAAGCGTTACAGTGCTCCATTTGGACTTTTGCATCCAGCTGGGTGGAGTGCGTGCATTCATCTGGGAACCAGCAGAGCAGCCTACCCGGTGAGAATGGTGGGCGCAGAGGTGTATCTGGTGCAGGTGAGATTGCAGCCAGGCAGGGACCGCCACAGCACCCGGTCGCACCAAGCAGGCAGGCGCTTGGGATTGTACTGCTGTAGCTCGTCCCTTAGCACCTGAGGGGGTGAGACGCAGAAAGAAGGTGCGCGTATTTACACACACAAAGTCACATGAGTGTCGCAGCTAGAACCAGGCAGGCGCTTGGGGTTGTACTGCTGCAGCTCGTCCCTTAGCACCTGATGAAGAAGGGGGGGATGGAATACACTTGGTTTGGGCACACATACTAGAGCATGTATAGCATGTGCATGCATGTGCATGCATGTGTATTCATGTGTATTCATGTGCATGCATGTGTATTCATGTGTATTCATGTGCATGCATGTGTATTCATGTGTATTCATGTGTATTCATGTGCATGCATGTGTGTTCATGTGTATTCATGTGTATTCATGTGTATTCATGTGCATGCATGTGTGTTCATGTGTATTCATGTGTGAGCACGAGAAGCAGGCAGGCGCTTGGGGTTGTACTGCTGTAGCTCGTCCCTTCGCTTAGCACCTGAGGGGGTGGGTGGGGGGATGTGGGGAGCCAGGGGTACATGGGGAGCAGGGGATGTGGCGGGGACAGGGGATGTGGCGTGTCGAGGAGAAAAGGCCCCGCCCTCGCTTGGGCGAAGTCGGCCGTGCTTTTCGGAGCACAACGATGTTCCAGCTGCCTCCAGTCGCAGACGATCGCAGCACGACTTGATCACATGGATCGAATCCATCGAGCCTCAGCTGGAGATCGCCAGATTGAAGAAGTTCGTCGATGGAAATGTTTTGGCGCCGGACGAGGAGGATGTCGAGCTCGGGTCGGAATTTCGCGCGGCTCACCTTCTGGCCTTTATGGTCATTTCGAGGTGTTGCTCGCCTCTGGTGCAAGTCGCATTGAGGTCAGGGACAGGGGATGTGGCGGGGACAGGGGATGTGGATGCAGGAAGCAGGCAGGCGCTTGGGGGTTATACTGCTGCAACTCGTCCTTTAGCACTCGAGGGGGTTAGTTAGACAAAGGGGGGATGCATTCTATTCAGACACACATACTAAGAGTATGATTTGCCCTGCCGCAGTTCCTCCTATGGTGTGGAAGTTCAGGAAGCGCACGGGTAAGTTCTGGTGATCTGGGTCGAATCTACTTTTTTCTGCACACACAAGGCAGAAGTAGGCAGGCGCTAGTGTGAGAAAAGATGAAGAAGAACCGGTAGATTCATTATGTACATCAGGGCCCCATAGATTCGATTGTTTGGCTCTGATTACCATGTGAGAAAAGATGAAGAAGAACCGGTAGATTCATTATGTACATCAGGGCCCCATAGATTCGATTGTTTGGCTCTGATTACCATGTGAGAAAAGATGAAGAAGAACCGATAGATTCATTATGTACATCAGGGCCCCATAGATTCGATTGTTTGGCTCTGATTACCATGTGAGAAAAGATGAAGAAGAACTGGTAGATTCATTATGTACATCAGGGCCCCATAGATTCGATTGTTTGGCTCTGGTTACCATGTGAGAAAAGATGAAGAAGAACCGGTAGATTCATTATGTACATCAGGGCCCCATAGATTCGATTGTTTGGCTCTGATTACCATGTGAGAAAAGATGAAGAACCGATAGATTCATTAGGAAACATGGGGGTATACATAGTAGTGCTAGGATGGGTGGTTTGGTTGGGAACCTAGCCAACATTATTGGCCCCCAACAATAAATTGGGTTGAGGGATTGTTGGGGGGACCAATAATGTTGACCAAGTGTTCAACATTATTGGGGGGACCAATAATTCCCAACCCAACCTTGGCGGCCAAATAATTGGGCCAAGGTTTGAGTTCCAACCCCCAACTAGGGTTAGCCCTAGTTCTACACCCAAACTAGGTTTGGGTGTTTATCTCTAACCTAGGCTTATAGGATTGATGTAGGTTACAATGAGGATGGTAATCTGACACAACCCCTTAACCTACAGAAATCCATAAGCTTGGGAAGAGAGAGAGCAACAACCCCTGAATCAGCCACCGCGGGGAGCAAGTCCCTGGAGACGCAGAAGCGCAGAGTGATCAGAGCGGTGGAGAGCCTTGGTGAAGAGATCGGCGAGGTTGTCGGAGGAGACGATTTTGCGAACGGTTATGTGACCATCTTGGACAAGGTCGCGAACAAAGTAGTAGCGAAGCTCGATGTGTTTGGAGCGACCATGAAAGACTGCTTCCTTGGTAAGGTGGATGGTACTATCGTTGTCACACCACAGGGTGGGGCAGGGCTGTGGAGAGCCAAGGTCGGTGAGCAGATAGCTGAGCCAACGGGCCTCTTGGGCCGCCATCGTGACCGCGTACAATTCTGCTTCGCAGGATGAGAGGGCAACGGAGGAGGAGCGGGTGGAGCGCCGGCTGATGAGGCCGCCCTCGAGTGTGAAGCCATATCCTTGGGAGCTGCGACGGTCGGGCTGTGCGTCGGCCTAAGATGAGTTGCTGAAGCCTTGAAGAATGGGCGTGTTCACACCACCAAGAGTGAGGACATGGTCCTTCGTGCCTTGAAGGTAGTGAAGAACACGCATGGCCGCCTTCCAATGCTCTTCACCATGCCTGTCGGTGCCAACGAACTGCGCCAGAACACTGACTAGGTATGCAAGGTCGGGACGAGTGCAGACCATGGTGTACATCAGGGCCCCAACAAGTTCTGCATAGGGATGAGGGGAGGTGACAGGAGTGGTGGGAGGGGAGAGCCGATGCCCGAATGCAAGTGGTGTGAGGATGGGTTTGCAGGTTTTCATGCCAAACCTCTCAAGAATCTTCTCGATGTAAAAAGACTGAGAGAGGGTGATGGTCTTGGCAGTGAGGTCGCGGGTGATCTCCATGCCGAGGTAGTTGCGGACCTCCCCCAGGTCTTTGCAGGCGAGGCATTTCTGCAGCTCATCCTTGACCTCCTGGAGTTCAGCATCTGTGTCAGCGGCCAGCAGCATGTCGTCGACGTAGACGAGGATGTAGAAGGGTGATGGGGTGAGGCGCAAGAAGAGGCAAGAGGCGGCACGGGAGGGGCGAAAGCCAAGTGCGCGAAGGGTGGAGGAGAGTTTGGCGTGCCATTCTCGAGGTGCTTATTTGAGCCCGTCGACAGGGCGTAGCAACTTCCAAACAGTGGTAGGGTCGTGAGGAGCATGGAAGCCTTTGGGACGTTCAAGGAAAATGAGCTCATGAAGGTCGCCTTGCAGAAAGGCGGTGGTGACGTCCATGGAGTGAAGAATCATCCCGCGTCTGCCAACAAAGTCCAAAAACACTCAAATGACTGGTGGAGTGGTGGTGGGTGAGTAGGTCTCGAAGAAGTCTGAGCCATAGGTCTGTGTGAAGCCTTTTGCCACATATCGAGCTTTGAAGACCGGAGCGTCGCCATGGAGTAGTTTTACTCGGAAAAGTCACACGCCTTTGACCACGTTGTGCTTAGAGGGACGAGGAACGTCGAGAAACGAGCGATTGCTGATGAAGGCGTTGCTCTCCTTGACCATGGCCTCGATCCAGAGAGGTGCATCAAGACAGGCAAGTGCTTGCTCATAGGTGGTGGGTTCGTAGATGGTGGGGGTGGTGGAGAAAAGAAGGACACTAGTGCCAGCCATTATGCAGACGACGGGGGCGATGGTGGGTGAGAGGTGGAGGAAAAGAAGCTCATCGTGAGAGTCTTCAGAGAGGTCCGGAGTGAGAGGAGGAAGAGGAGGCGGTGGAGTTGCAAGACAGCTGCGCTGGAGGGTCGGGCCGATGCGGGGACACAGCTGCACTGGTGCTCTGCTGCGTTGAGGGTCGGGGCGGGGAGACAGCTGCATTGCAGCTCGGCTTCGCTGAGTTGCCGTGAGGGGCAGGGAGACGGGAGCGCGACTGCTGAGAGAACCTGAGGGGCTGGTGCGGGGAGGGGGGGAGGTGCTATGGTGACGGAGAAGGGGGATGGATGTGAGAGACTGGAGGGAGGGGAGGGTGGACCTTGGGGTACCAAGAATGGGGACCGTGGAGCGGGAGTGAGGGTAGTGGCGGAGTATGAGAGGGGGAGTGGGAAGTAGGGGCCGGGAGGATGGAGGTGGAGTGAGTGGGGGAGGGCGTGGGGAGGGGGGAGGTGGGGGATGTTGTGCATGGAGGGAGGGAGGGGAAGGAGGGGGAGGGGGTGGGGAGGGATGGGGAGGGGCAGCGGGTGGGGAGGGAGAGGGAGGGGCAGCGGGTGGGGAGGGAGGGGGAGGGGCAGCGGGTGGGGAGGGAGGGTGGACGGGGTCAAGGATGTCTCCTGACGAGGCGGGGGGAGAGGGGGGAGGGGGTGGGGGTGCAGGGGGAACAATGGTGGGGGGGGGGGGGGGAGAAGGGAAGGGGAGGGGAGAGGGGGTGGGAGGGGAGAGGGGGTGGGGTGGGAATGGTGTCAGTCCAGAGGAGGGGACGGGTGGTTAGAGGGAGGGGGTTAGGGACTTTGGGGGAGGTGTAGTACGGGTGGGCTTCATCGAATTCCACATCCCGACTACGAATGAGGCGACCTGAGGGGGGATGGAGGAAGAGATAGTCCGGGGAGGAGGTGTTGTGACCAAGGAAAATGCAGGGGAGGGTGCGGGAGGCTAGCTTCCCAGCTTTGCGTGAGCGGTCGACAGGGTGTATGAGAACATGGCCCTGGACCCCCACATGCGCAGGTAGACATGAGCACAAGGGCGAACACCTATTCGGTTCGCCTCGAACGGTTTGTTTTTTTTGCTTAAAATGTTCGCCAAACAGTGTTCGAGGATCGCCCGAACACGAACCGCTGCTGCAATTTGCCCCGCGACGAACACGAACGTGTTCGAGGTTCGCCCGAACATGCCTTCACAGGCGAACGACGAACACGTGTTTTTGCTTAAAGTGTTCGCCGAACCGAACAGTGTTCGGTTCGGCAAACGGATGTGTTCGTGTAGGGGCGAACACGAACATGTTCGTGTTCGCCCCTTGCTCATCCCTACGCGCAGGGGAGTGATGTCGGGCTTTTTGGATGTCCAGAGTGCGGTGGGAGTGGTGGTGGGCCGGGAGGGATGAGGGTACAAGTTAGTGAGGATGGCAGCGTGGAGGATGGCATAGCCCCAGAGAGAGGGCGGGCAGGAGGCATGGACCATGAGGCACCGAGCAGTCTTGGTGACCTCGCGGACCCTGCTTTCCGCCACGCCATTCTGCTGAGGGGAATGAGGTAGGGTGTAGGTGTGAATAATGCCACGAGTGGTGCAGTAGGATGAGAGCATGTTGTTAAGGAACTCACCACCGCCATCAGAGTGGAAGCGGGGCACCGAGCGTTTGAAATGGGTGCGTGCTTGTTCAGCCCAGGCAATAATGGCAGCCGGGGCCTCCGCCTTCGTGCGAAGGAGGGAGACGGAGGAGTACCGCCTGTGGTCATCCACCAGGATGAGCAGGTATTTATGGCCTTGCCTGGTGAGGGAAGGGTTGGGGCCCCAGAGGTCCATGTGGACGAGATCAAGAGGCTGGGGAGAAAAGGAGGGATGACTCTTGTGGGGGGCGGGGAGGGGGGGGGGGTGGGGGAGAAGGAGGGGGGGGGAGGGGGAGGGAGGGGATGGGAGAAGGGGAGGGAAGGGGGAGGGGAGGTGAGGGGAGGGGGAGGGGGGGGGAGGGGATGGGAGGAGGGGAGGGAAGGGGGAGGGGAGGTGAGGGGAGGGGGAGGGGGAGGGGTGAGGTGGGGGCGATGAGGTTGTGAATGGAGGTGCGAGGGGTGCGGTACTTGTACATGTTTGTGTGAGGGCAGAGGGGAATGCGACAGATGAAGCAGTCAGTGGCGGTGTGAAAGAGGTTGCAGTGATGTGCATGACCAGGGAAGAGGGCGGTGATACCGAACCTGGTGAGGTCACAAAGGGCTACCAGGTTGTTGCGTAGGGAGGGGATGTATAGACCGGTGACTGTGCCGAAGGGGAAGATGGGACAGGGGAGGGTGGAGGTGTGTTGACTTGTGATGGTGAAGCTGGAGTCAGCTCCATGGATAGTGGAGGGAGTGGGGAGAGGTACCAGTGTGCCTGCATCCCGAAGGACCGTGTGTAGCTCCACTGTCAAGGATAAACTCAAGGCATGTGGAGGAGGAGGAAAAGGCAGAATACTGGAAGAAGGACTCATTACTAGCATGGGCATACAGAGAATCAGCAGCATTAGCAGCAGCTGCCGGGGGTCCATGGCCATATCCAGGAGGTGGGTAGGGAGGGTAATGCCAGCCAGCATACGGTGGAGGGTAGTGAGTGGGAGGGGCTTGAGGCGGAGGTGTGGGTGGAGGAGGAGTGGTAGTGGTGGGAGTGGGGGTGGATGAGGGGAGAAGATGCTGAACTTGCTGAAGGATGTGAGATGGGAGATGTTGAGTGAGGACATTGTGGAGGTTGGGAGTAGAGGGTTGATAGGCGGGGAGAGTGCGGATGTCATGGAGGGAGGGGCGTGGGAAAACAGTGTTCCAGCGTGGTGGAGTGCCAATGTTACCACGTGCGAACCACACGTCAGTAAGGGCTTTGGAGCACGTGTCAGTGGTATGAGTGGTCTGAGAGCATGGCTGGCCTTTGTTGGAGCCATAGCGGATGATGTACTGACACGGGGGCAGGGTGCCTGAAGGTGAGGGATATCCGCCGCGGCCGCCACGACCACCAACGCGACCACCACCGCGTCCTCCGCCTCGGCCACCACCACGTCCACCACCACCACTACCGGCGCTTCCTGGGCCGCCACCTCCTCCGCTGTTGTGGTTGCCTGTGGTAGCTTTGCGGGTCTGGACAGCATTGACGGTGGCGGAGTCACGTTGAATGTCCGCTTCGCTATCAAGAAGCCACTCGATGGTGTCAGCCACAGGAGGAGGATGACGGTAGCGAGAGGTGAAGGTGATGCGGTAGGTGTCATATGTGGGAGGGAGGCAGTCGAGGATGCGTGCAGTGAGAAGGGACTCAGAGATGACAATGCCCCGGTCATTGAGGCATTGCGCAGTGTCAATGAGGTGACGGGTCTAGGCAGCAGCAGTGGGGGAGGAGTTAAGGGTGATGTCTTGAAATTTGCGAAAGAGGGCGTGGAGGGAGCGAAGATCCTGACGATCGTACTGAGTAGATAGGGTTTTCCAGAGTCTAGAGGAGGAGGTGGGACAAAGGTCGCGTTTGAGGTGAGAGGGGATGCAGGAGAAGATGATGGCAAGTGCACGACGATCAGCAACACACCACGCTGCAACATCTTTCTCATCTTGAGTGTAGGAGAGGATGCATGCAGTAGCATCAGCGTGTGCCTGTTCCGCAACACGATGCGCCTCACGCTAGAGGATGTAAGTGCCGCAAAGCTTGTTGTAGGTGTTCAGGTTGGCCGCCCAGCGATCCGGGTTGTCATCATGAACTGGGGCACGTGGGTGGGCGGGAAGAGGCTCGAGTGGAGGAGGGGCGTCAGGGGGAGGAGGTTCAAGAGGAGGGGGGAGAACGGGTGGGAGGCCATTAGGGTGCTCGAAGACGACATCAAGAAGACAGTAGTCTTGAATGATGACGGAGCTAAGGTGCGTGTGAAGCGTGTCCTCAAACGACGCCCAATTCACAGCCGTAGTGTCATGGAGTTCGAGCTTGTCGATAGCTCCGAGCTCAATGGGGGTAGAGTCGTCCGCCATGAGGGGGGGGAGAGGGGGGAAGGGTGGTGACACCGGCTTCAGAGCAGGTGCAGTCAATGGGAGGACGACACCACCTGGAGGGGTGGTGTGGTCGAGGGTGGAGTGGACGGTCGATCGCGTTTGACATGGACGTGGTGATCGCCCACGGCGGATTCTGCCGCGGTGGTCGCGTCCGCCCCCTTCGGCGAATTCTGCCGCGGTGGTCGCGTCCGCCCCCGTCGGCGGATTCTACCGTGGTGGTCGCGTCCGCCCCCGTCGGCGGATTTCGTCGCGGTGGTCGCGTCCGCCCCCGTCGGCGGATTTCGTCGTGGTGGTCGCGTCCGCCCCCGTCGGCGGATTTCGCCGCGGTGGTCGCGTCCGCCCCCGTCGTTGGATTCTGCCGCGGTGGTCACGTCCGCCCCAGTCGGCGGATGGCGCCGCGGTGGTCGCGTCTGCCCCCGTCGGCGGATTGCGCCTCGGTGGTCGCGTCCGCCCCCGTCAGCGGATTCTGCCGCGGTGGTCGCGTCCGCCCCCGTCGGCGGATTTCGTCGCGGTGAGGGAGGGGAGGGGGGCCGTAAGCGGCAATTCTGACCGTGAGAACGGAGGGGAGAGGTGCTGAAATTGAACGTAAGGGGGGGGGGGGGGAGGGGGGGCGTGAAGGCGTAAGAGCGCACTAGGCGCTAAGAGAGACTTAGTTGTCGAGTGAGAGAGATGGGCGTGATTCGGCACGCGGAGGTGTGGTTCTTAGGATCGAAGAAGGTGTTAGCCGTTTGGCTCTGATTACCATGTGAGAAAAGATGAAGAAGAACCGGTAGATTCATTATGTACATCAGGGCCCCATAGATTCGATTGTTTGGCTCTGATTACCATGTGAGAAAAGATGAAGAAGAACCGGTAGATTCATTATGTACATCAGGGCCCCATAGATTCGATTGTTTGGCTCTGATTACCATGTGAGAAAAGATGAAGAAGAACCGGTAGATTCATTATGTACATCAGGGCCCCATAGATTCGATTGTTTGGCTCTGATTACCATGTGAGAAAAGATGAAGAAGAACCGATAGATTCATTAGGAAGCATGGGGGTATACATAGTAGTGCTAGGATGGGTGGTTTGGTTGGGAACCTAGCCAACATTATTGGCCCCCAACAATAAATTGGGTTGAGGGATTGTTGGGGGGACCAATAATGTTGACCAAGTGGTTCAACATTATTGGGGGGACCAATAATTCCCAACCCAACCTTGGGGGCCAAATAATTGGGCCAAGGTTAGAGTTCCAACCCCCAACTAGGGTTAGCCCTAGTTCTACACCCAAACTAGGTTTGGGTGTTTATCTCTAACTTAGGCTTATAGGATTGATGTAGGTTACAATGAGGATGGTAATCTGACAGCTAGGTGCTGGGCTTTTGAGAATTCTCAAAGGCTTGCTGTGCTGGGCGGAAATTCCAGTAAGATTTTTGCTTGGTTTGCCTTGCGTGTTTGCTTATTACGAATCGAAGGCAGTGGAGGAGGGGAGGGAGAGATCACCTTGAACGTGGGAGCAAAGGTGATGGGCGCTTCGCAGAACTTGTAGAACGACCGGCCTTCCCTGATCTCCCGTTGCAGCTGATGGGATGTGAGTACCAGCAAGCAGCAAGGAGCGGGCGAGGGGGCGAGGGTGGGGGGGAGAGGGGGATGGGGAGGCGGGAGAAGGCTTTTGAGTCGACTCGAAAGTTTATGGGTGCTTCGCAGAACTTACAGAAGGACCGGCCTTCCCTGATCTCCTGTTGGAGCTGAATGGATGTGAGTGAGCAAAAAAGATCAGGCCAAGAGAGGGGGAGGAGGGAGGAGGGAGGAGTATGAACGGCCTCGACTTGGGATGACAGGAGACAGAAAGCAACAAGTGAAGACTAGGGAGAGCAAGAAGGAGTGAGTACGTACTTCCTTTCAACTTTGCACACAGGAGGAAACAAGGAAAGAAGAGTCTGGCTTAGCGGCTTCTAGAAAAACAGACACCCAGACAGAGAGAGAGGAAAAAAAGGGCAAACTCTTCGAGTGCTTTCGTCCTAAAAGTCCATATTATAAAAGCAAGAGGCTGGTTGGCAGCATGAGAGCAATCTGACCTCGTCATGTTGGAGCAGGTCTGCAAAGTTGCCTTGATCTATCTTCTCTAGAATGCTGCGATGCAGTGCCATGCGACTGATGTGTGTGGGGAGTACAGAACGCAAGGGGGAGGTGTGGGGAGTACAGAACGCAAGGGGGAGGTGTGGGGAGTAGCAACGTGACGGTCAGATTCACACATCGTCATGTTCGAGCAGGGCAGGCCTGCAAAGTTGCCTTGATCTTTTTTATTTAGAATGCTGCGGTGCAGTGCCATGCCACTGGGAGGGAGGAAAAAAGGGAGAAAGACTTCTTCTGTGGCGCCTAGAGAGTCATGGAAGAGATGAGAAGGTGGAGATGGATGGGCGAGAGAACATACACACACACACACAAGGCCAACCAATGCCACTCACACTGCCTTGACCACCTCCTTATTATCCTTGCTGCTCCCCATGGACATCAGTTTCCTGTCCGACTCATGTGTGCGTGCAGACCCACCCATCCCCACCACCCCCAACCCAACCCCACACGCACGCACGCAACACCACTCACACTGCCTTGACCGCCTCCTTCTTATCCTTGCTCCTCCCCATCGACATCAGTTTCCTGTCCGACTCATATGTGTGTGCACACCCCCCATAACCCCCCTTCCCCCACATGCCCGTACGCCGCATGGCCAACCAATGCCTCTCACACTGCTTTGACCGCCTCCTTCTTATCCTTGCTACTCCCCATGGACATCATTTTCCTGTCCGACTCGTGCGTGTGCGTGTGCGTGTGCGTGTGCGTGTGCGTGTGTGTGTGTGTGTGTGTGTGTGTGTGTATGTGCAGACCCACCCATCCCCACCACCCCCAACCAACCCCCACACGCACGCACGGCTGAATGCCACTCACACTGCTTTGACCGCCTCCTTATCCTTGCTACTCCCCATCGACATCATTTTCCTGTCCGACTCATGTGTGCGTGCACAACCACCCATCCCCACCACCCCCAAGCCACCCATACACGCATGGCCACTACCACTTACACTGCTTTGACGGCCTCCTTCTTATCCTTGCTGCTTCCCATCGACATCAGTTTCCTATCCGACTCATTCAGCTTCCGCGACCCGCCACTCCCACTCATCGTTATTGCCCGCTGCATCATCGCTCCTCTCCCGCTCTTGCTCCAACTCCCGTTGCTAGCAAACCACATGCGCGCGCACGCGCGCGCACACACACACACACACACACACACACACGGCCAACACCACTCACATTGCTTTAACCGCCTCCTTCTTATCCTTGCTGCTCCCCATGGACATCAGTTTCCTGTCCGACTCATTCAGCTTCCGCGACCCGGCACTCCGCGACGACCCGCCACTCCCACTCATCGTTATTGCCCTTTGCACCATCGCTGCTCTCCCGCTCTTGCCCCCACTCCCGCTGCTCGCAACCGCCGCACCCCCGTCCCCGTCCCCGTTCCCATTCCCGAGCCCGTTGCCGGAGCTGCTGTCTTCATCCCCGGAGCTGTCGTCGTCGCCGTCCCCGGCCCCGCCTAGGCCCGGGAGGGAAGTTTCTGGGAAGGCGAGGCGGTAGTTGAGGTCGCCCATCCAGAATACATGGTGGAACTGTGAGAGGAGGTCGATGCTGGAGAGGCCGGGGTGCATATTGCGCATCACCTCTGATGAATGGAGAGATTGGGAGATGGGGAGAAAAGTGAGTGGATGAACTAGGAAGGGAAGACATGGTGGAATTGCGAGAGGAGATCGATGCTGGAGAGACCCGGATGCATGTTGCACATCACCTCTGTGAATGGAATGGAGAGATTGGGCAATGGGGAGAGAGATAGATAGGTTTGATGGAAGATAGTTGAGTGGAACTGTGCGAGGAGGTCGATGCTGGAGAGGGCGGGGTGCATGTTGCGCATGACCTCTGGTGGGGGGGTGGGGGGAGAGCATTAGGAAGCATGAGTGAGGGTGAGAGTGAGAGACGCAGATACACACACACAGATATATATATACATATATATGTATATATGTATATATGTATATATGTATACATGTATATATGTATATATATATTGTTGTCACCCCTCATTTTCTCACCCCGGTAGTTGTCGTTGCGAGTCATGCAGTGCCCCTCGTGTGCTGCCAGGTGTGAGTTGACGAAGCAGAAGGACGTGTCCCAGAACTGAATGGTGAAGGCGGGAGGGGCCCAGAAGGAAGGGAGAAGGGGTGAAGGGGGGGGGGCGGGAAGTGCGAGACATGGTGAAAAGACGAGAGGAGGGGGAACTAGTGTGCTGTCAGGCCTCACTCATGGCTACCATGTCAGCGATGGCTTGTTTCAACTTCGAGAACGAGTTTTGGGGGGAGTTTTGGGGCGCATCAAAACCTGCCCAGAGTGGGAGGAGCGTACCTTGAGCGAGACGCTGACAGCACCCTTGTTGGCAATCACATGGCCGATACCAGTAGCCTCGCTTGTGGCTGTAACATCAGTGATAGCTTTCTGTGGCACACATGAGGGGGGGAGAGAGGGGAAGAAGAGGGTTGGGAGCGGATGGGATGGAGAGAGATGAAGGAGAGGGAGAAGGGAGAGGTTGTGGCTTGCTTGTGGCTAACACGTCAGTGGTGGCTCTCTCTCTGGTGCCCACACTTGGTGACTTTTGAGTCGACTCAAAGTCAACCCGCTTGTGGCTAACACGTCAGTGGTGGCTCTCTGCTGCCCACACATGCGGCACGGAGGAGAAGAGAGAGAGAGAGAGAGAGAGAGAGAGAGAGAGAGAGAGAGAGAGAGAGAGAGAGAGAGAGAGAGAGAGAGAGAGAGAGAGAGAGAGAAATAGTGGGGTGGGAAGGGGAAGTGGTGAAGGCAAAGTGGAGGGGAAATGTGTGAGGGCAGTGAAAGTAGGTGGGCATGAGCAAGAGTTGATCTGGGACCAGCAGCAGCAACAGCAGCAACACCACCACCGGCACCACTGGCAGCAGCAGCAGCAGCAGCAGCAGCAGCAGCAGAATGACTAATGATCGCACCTGTGAAGTTTCCAGCACCAGCACCACGAGTCGCATCTGGCCACGTGTTGTGCCCTTCACCACCTTGTAGTGCGGGGCGAAGTGTGCTCTGCAAGGCAACGAGGGGCGTGAGAAGAGGAGTGAGTGTGTGTGAGGAAAGGAGAGAGCATGAGAAAACGACTTCCGAGGTGCCTCAAAAGTCATCTGGCCACGTGTGGTGCTGTTCACCACCTTGTAGTGCGGGGCGAAGTGCGCTCTGCAGGGCAATGGGAGCGCGAGAAAAGGAGTGAGCATGAGAAAAAGATGGAGTGAGAAAAGGAGTGTGTGGGGAAACAAGCGAGCGTGAGAAAACGAGGGAGTGAGGAAGCGAGTGATTGATGAAAAATAAGTGAGACTGTTGAAGGGGTGGTTACAAAGAAAAAAAGGCATTCAAGGCTGAACGAAGGGGTTGTTACTCGAACTTACTTTATAGCAGCGACCCAGTCTTCCATGCAGGTGGCATAGCCTGAACGAGGCTGATACTCGCACTCCTGTGGAGTGGAGGTGACAGGTGAAACGGGGGAAAAGGGTGCAATCGATGCATGAGTGCTACTGGTCGGTAAACAATGCAGCAAAGCATCCCAGTCTTCCATGCAGGTGGCATAGCCCGAACGAGGCTGGTACTCGCACTCCTGGTTGGTTGGGGAGGGAGAGGGGAGATACGGCATCAGAGGGACCTTTGAGTTGACGCAAAAGTCACCTCTGCTAGTCACATTTTTGAGGCGCCTCAAAAAGCAAAAGTCACCTCTGCTAGTCACATTTTTGAGGCGCCTCAAAAAGCAAAAGTCACCTCTGCTAGTCACATTTTTGAGGCGCCTCAAAAAGCAAAAGTCACCTCTGCTAGTCACATTTTTGGTTGGGAAGGGAGAAGGGAGATACAGCAGATTGTGGGGCATTGACAGAGCCACGCCAACCAAGCGGCGAAATGAGGAAATGGAGAGGAGAGGACAGGAAAGAGTGGAGAGTTACTTGATACATGGGAGCAAAGGAAAATGCGGCGCAATCAGCAAGCAGGCGACACAAATGCATCCAGCATATGGTTCGTGCACTTATGATGGCCAAGGAGAAAATTCGACACGTCTCAAACATCGAGTCTTGAGTCGATTCAAAAGCTGATGGTGACGAGAATATGAGCCGTTTTGAGACGTCTCAAAGCTGATGGTGACGAGAATATGAGCCGTCCGGGCCCTTGGGGAGAATATGCAATTGGGGATGATAGGCCCCTCCTGGGGAGCCAGGGAGAGACTGAGCACATTGGAAGCCACGTGTAAACAGAGTTTTTTGGAGACGTCTCAAAACAACTCTGTTTACACCTTGGGGAGAATGTGCAATTTGGGAGGATAGGCCCCTGGAAAGCCAGGGAGAGAATGAGCCCATTGGAGTGGTACCTATGTTGTCGCTTTCTTTCTAATGGTTGTGCTTTTTTTGGGACGAGAAGCAAACTCTTTTGGGATGAGGGACTGACCTGCGAGCCGATGGCAATGAGCTCGTGATCCGTGCCCTTGGGGAGCCAGGGTGAGAGGTCGTCAGGCTGTATGGGGCATGGGTCGTGGGGCATGGGGCGTGGGGATGGGGCGTGGACATGGGGCGTGGACATGGGGCGTGGACATGGGGCATAGGGCGTGGGGCGTGGGGCATGGCATGGGGCATGGGCATGGGGTATGGGGCGTGGGGCATGGGCATGGGGCATGGGCTTGGGGCATGGGGCATGGGGCGTGGGGCATGGGACGTGGGGCGTGGGGCGTGGGGCGTGGGGAGTGGGGCGTGGCGTGGGCGTGAGCCATGGAGCATGGGGTATGGGGCGTGGGGCATGGGGCATGGGGCATGGGGCGTGGGGCGTGGGGCGTGGGGCGTGGCGTGGGGCATGGGGCATGGGGCATGGGGCATGGGGCATGGGGCGTGGGGCATGGGACGTGGGGCGTGGGGCGTGGGGCGTGGCGTGGGGCATGGGGCATGGAGCATGGGGCATGGGGCATGGGGCATGGAGCATGGGGCATGGGGCATGGGGCATGGGTCACGGCACGGCATGTGCATGCAGAGATGCCCACACACTTGTGTGAGATGTAGGCATGCATGTGCACATACACATGCACATGCAACATAATGGCATCCACTTGGATGGACATCCACGTGCAGAGCCCACATCATCCACCACTCCTCAAAACTCCTCGTAACCCCTATCCCCTCATCCTACCGGGGGAGCATTGCCGACGTTCCACGACCCAATGAACAGCTTGATGGGCTGCTGTGGCGGCGCCCGTGCTGCCACCACGTGCAGCAGCACCTGCAGGAGGGGAGGGGGAGGGAGGGGGGGGGTGTGGTTAGGAACAAGGGAGAGTTTTGATTCAACTGAAAAAAAACTGCTCTGGAAGGGCTCGTGCTGCCACCACGTAGCAGCACCTGGGGGGGGAGAGGGGGGGAGGTTTGAGTCGACTATAAAAAGCTGTTCTGGAGGGGGGCTCGCGCTGCCACCACGTAGCAGCACGGGGCAAGAGAGGGGGAAGGAAGAGAGGGGGAAAGAAGTACAGGGCAGGAGGGAAGGCAGGCAGGGGAGGAAGGGGAGCATCGGCGTGCTGCTGGGCACTCAGAGAGAAGACGCATGTAAGTAAGCTCCTTGTGCAGTTGAATTTGAATAGAATCATGACATTGCAGGGTATTTTTTATAAGATGTGCGTAAGCTCCTCATGCAGTAGAATAAAACCATGACATGCTCCCTCCCTCTCTCTCGCTCTTACACACTCACCTTCTGCTTCCCCCTTGTTGAATTCTTCCCCCCACTCCCTCCCTCCCACCTCCTCCCTCTCCCTCTTTCGCTCACCTTCCCTGCAGATGCCTTCTTGCTTCCCCCCCTTTAACTTCTCATCTTCATACCCCCCTCCCTCTCCCTCTCACCTCCCTCCCTCCCGATCTCACCTTCCCTACAGACGATTTCTTCCCCTCTTTGGCCACGATCTCGTACCACTCAGGCTCCAGTGTGCGGTCTGCAGAGGGGGGAGTGGGGGGAAGAAGAGAACCAGATTCAGGAGAGGGGTTGGAAAGCTGAAGGGGGTGGTCAAAACATCTTCCCCTCTTAGGCCACGATCTCGTACCACTCGGGCTCCAGTGTGCGGTCTGCAGAGGGGAGGGGAGGGGAGAATGGATGGAAGAAGAGAGCCAGGTTGGAGGGCGAGGTTTGAATCGTTTGAACGAGATCAGCTATCTTCCCCTCCTTGGCCACGATTATGCACAGCGGCTTGATGGACCCCCCCACTTCGGCACCCACCCACCCACACGGCCCCCCATGCCCGCACCCCCGCACGCCCGCACGCCCGCCCACAAGCCCCAACGCCCACAGTACTGCATGCTCCCCCATTCACATACACGGGTCGGTTTCTGAGCAGGTCACACGCGCGCAGCACAGCGCCTTTATGGACCCCAGCACCTTGCGCATGCCCATGGCTGTCTTCCCACTGTGAACTCTCACTTACTCCCTCACTCAGTCACGCACCACTCACTCACTCACTCCCTCACTCACACTCTCTTTCTCACTCACCAGGGTCGGTTTCAAGCAGGTCAGACACACGCAGCGCCTTGATGGACCCAAGCACCTTGCGCATGCCCATGTCTGATGCACTGTGCCTTGTCACTCGGTCACTCCCTATCTCTCTCACCCGGGTCAGTTTCGAGTAGCCCCGCCACGCGCAGCGCCTTGATCGACCCCAGCACCCACGTTTGCGCCCGCCCATATGGTCCCTCATCCGCCCGCCCATATGGTCCCTCATTCGCCCGCCCATATGGTCCCTCATCCGCCCGCCCATATGCCCCCACATCCGCCCGCCCATATGCCCCCACATCCGCCGCACGCCCACAGTGCTGCATGCTCCCCCATTCACCTACCGGGGTCAGTTTCGAGCAGGTCACACACGCGCAGCGGCTTGATCGACCCCAGCACCTTGCGCATGCCCATGGCCGTCTTCCCCGCCACCGCCACGCGCACCTCCGCCGACTGCGCGGATACAGGGGGCGGGGAGGACAGGCGGAAAGTGGAAAGGGTGGGGAGGAAAGGGCGGGGGATGGAGGAGCGGGGGGAGAAAGGGTGGGGGATGGGCGGAAAGGAAAAAAAAAAAAAGCGAGGGTGGGTGGAAGAGGGGAAGCCAGGGGAAATGGCGGAGGCGGAAGAGAGGCCGGACGACTGAGGGGACGAATGGGGGATGAAGTCGGGGAGATGAGCGCGCGGGGGAGGAGAGGAGGGAAAATGAAAGGAGGGAGACGGGGAGAAGGGTGGTGGAAAGGGAGAAATGGAGGAGGGGAAAGGGAGAAGTGCGAGAAGTGAACGAAAGAGTAAGCGAAAGCGTTAACGAGATGGACACGAGATTAAACGAAAGAGGCGAAGGTTACTTTTTCATCCTTGACGTCGAACGAGTGGCCTTGGTCGAATGTGATCAAACCGTCATCTGTCTTCTCCTGCACCTGAAATCACCAACCGAGACAGCAATGACAACGCTTATAAATTAAATTCGCTGGTGCTGATAACGCGAACGAAAGCAGACGCTGCCCAGGAAATTGATAAGAAGTAGAACCAAGTGCGGGAAAAAAAATGACACTTCAACCAGACCAGACTATCAACTTTTCGAACTCTTAGGAAATCGCTCTCTTTTTCCCTGAATATCGAACAATGGAAAGAACTGTAGAATGCAGCGAAACGGAGATTTTTATCACGGAAGCGTGCGGTGCTGCGCGGAGGGGAGGGGAGCGGCGCGTGGCGTTACTACGTACGTCTGAAGTTCGAAAGTAGCTGTCTTCCACGGCGACTTGAACCACGGGATTACTCAGCGACCCCACGTCCTTTATAGCCACCACCTTTACAGTCACTCGACACGCCCGAAGGCCTCCCTGGGACACGAGACGGGATGCAGCGAAGACAGAAGAAGCACGAGAGATGAAACTGGAAACGTAATACTACATTGAGCTACTTGATCTAGTGCTAACCCGAAAAGTGCTACTAATTCACATCAAAACTCGCGTTTCCTTATCTCGCAAGAAACGGCATTGCCCGTCAGGTCGCATTGGGTGAAAGACGCGCATTTTACAAAACCAATGCCAAAATCAGGTCCGAAAGCAGTTGTACCCTAGAAGACATGGCCTGCGCTTATGATGAGGCTTGATTGGCTTGAGTGGCGATTGAGTCGACGCCGCTTAGTGAGGAACCCCTTAGTCGAACCCTACTAGGCCTGATGCAACCAGGCTGCTACCTCGAGTCGCTAAGGGCGGGAAAAGATGTATGTTTGAGGTCCTGTGATGGCATCGATAAGTACGCGTTCAGCAGCTGTACTACCTCCAGCTGCTTTCAATGCAGCTTCGACAACTTCAGTGCAGACAAACTAAAAATGGAGTCAGCAGCTGAAGATAACTTAATCTTAGATAACATGATCCTGACAGCAACAGAGCAACAGCACAGCCACTTCAGTCGGGTGGACAAGGCCGCGTAATGCGCTCTTCTCTTTACGATGCTCGTGAAGACATGCTTGTGTGAAAGGATTGAGGGGGATCAGCTCAGCTATCAATCTGCCTCTCGACTCGAGTGTGTGTCTGGTGATGATCATTGACTTTCGCTGAGCAGCTGACGAGTTGGCTGGCTGGGCTCGTCTCATCACACCCTCGTCATTCTCTAGAGGTGTGCTTTGAGCAAAGGTGGGTGCTGGACTTCAACAAACACCCCTGTGTCCTACAGCTGATGCGCGGTTGAGTAATGTCGTGGATGAGTTCAATTCAAATAACAAGACGTGTTCGCACAAATGTGGGGGAACACAATGAAATGCAGAATTTTACAATGTTGAGTTTGATTTACCTGCTTTTTCACCTTCAATGAGAGGGCAAAACGTTCAGCAGAACACATATCAGCGCCTGAGAAAGTTCGGCGTATCCTGGCTGATTTGATGTTTTGCTTCATGCTTGGTGGCCCACTGGGGCACTGGACTGATCACCACAGCTCTTGTCGACTTTCCCTTGCTCCTCACTGTTTCCCCACCCCAGTTTGATTCCCTGGTTTTCCCTACGGTTCTGTGCGGAAACTCGGGGTGGATATCTCTGTAGCGCGTTCTCAGTCGGTGAATCTGGCTTTCTAATGATGCGGAATGATGCGGCTGCCAACCACCACCTGGTTTGAAAGGACAACCAGATGAGCCGATGTGGCACGCACACTCTACTGTATTGAGACCCACTTACTGGTCCCATGAGTTTTGGAAATGGTGCACCTCTCGTGACAAGGGCGCTGTTCTGTTGGAGTTCTCGCCGCCGCACCGTTGGTGCTGAGGTCAATTTCTTAGTGACTTGGCAAAACATGAAGGCTCGTATTTAACCGAGGTAAACTTCCTTTTTTAACAGCTCAGCCAAAATCGGGTCTGCCCAACGGGAAAATGGTCTGGCAAAAAAATAACCGAGGGTGACTCTCCCCCTCCAATAACCTCTGCCCAAGTTTGTGTGTTTGTTTTTGGGAAGGTTGAGCATCTTGAAATCTGTAACGACGACTACGAAATAAAGTTTATCACTGGCCTATGACTTGCAAGCGCGACATTTTCGGAATGCAGAAACGTTCAATATAATAGGGCTAGATGGATTGCTAAAACTTTTCTTGATGGCGACCCCAAATTGGGCGTTTACGCTTACAGACAAGTAATTGGGGGAATGTTTTCAGCAGCCTCCGAGAGGCCGCACCAATGGTGCGGACCAATTGCCAGGAGAGGAAATGGCGTGGAGCAAACGGGCGGTTAAGGTACAGTATCACAAAAGTGCTGTTCTGCAGGCTTTCGCGGTTAAATAGATGCGCCCAGCTTCGGACATCACCCAACCTGAACCGAACCATTATAAGCGATTCACTGAGAAGGAAGGAAGCTCCCACGATGGCCGTTTTTTGCCGTGGTGCGCCAGAAGAACAGCGCCCAGACCCACGGAGAGCCTGCATTTCTGTACGTTTACAGCATGCTTTGGTCCTTGTAGAAGTCCGAGAAAGCCGTTGTTAACAACGTGTCGTGATCCATCCCGATCTCCTCGATTCAGCCAATCTACCCCGAAATTGTCAAACTTATATCTGCTATGGTCTATTTAGGCTGTAGTGGGGTAGCTCTTAGAGGGTACAACACTTATGTGTTTTCTATTTGTACCCATCTCATTTTCTAGTTTATTCATTCTTTCGTCAATCCTTCTCACATGGTATAGAGCTAGTTTCGAGAATTTTTTAAAAAGGGCCCACCACTGAAATTCGTCACTGCCTGCTCGACGCGCGCGTCGCGCCTTCCCTTCGAGGCCCGTCGCGGCCCCTGCGCCTGCCCTTAGAGCCAGCGCCCGCCCCGTAAGGCCTCGTAAGGCCCCCTTTTCCGGCCCCGTAAGGCCCTGTAAGGCCCCGTAAGGCCCCTTAAGGCCCCGTTTACGGCCCCGTAAGGCCCCGTTAGGCCCCGTAAGGCCCCGTAAGGCCCCGTTTCCGACCCCTTTTAATGCCCCGTAAGGCCCCGTAAGGCCCCATTTACGGCCCCGTTTAAGGCCCCGTAAGGCCCCGTAAGGCCCCGTAAGGCCCCGTAAGGCCCCGTAAGGCCCCATTTACGGCCCCGTTTAAGGCCCCGTAAGGCCCCGTAAGGCCCCGTAAGGCCCCGTCAGGCCCCGTAAGGCCTCGTTTACGGCCCCGTTTAAGGCCCCGTAAGGCCCTGTAAGGCCCCGTAAGGCCCCGTCAGGCCCCGTTTAAGGCCCCGTAAGGCCCCGTAAGGCCCCGTCAGGCCCCGTTTAAGGCCCCGTTAGGCCTCGTACGGCCCCGTAAGGCCCCGTAAGGCCCCGTCAGGCCCCGTAAGGCCCTGTCAGGCCCCGTTAGAGGCCCCGTACGGCCCAGTTCTCGGCCCCGTCAGGCCCCGTCAGGCCCTGCGCCGGCCCTGCTGCAGCCCTGTCGCAGCTCTGCCCCGGCCCTGCTCCTGCACTGCCACGGCCCGGCCCCGGCCCTGCCCCGGACCTGTCGCGGCCTCGCCCCGGCCCTGTCCCGGCCCTGCTCAGACCCTGCCCCGGCCCTGCCCCGGCCCTGCACCCTGCCCCGGCTGTGCCCCGGCCCTGCCCCGGCCCTGCCCCGGCCCTGCTTCTGAACTGCCCCGGCCCTGCTCCTGAACTGCCCCGGCCCTGCCCCGGCCCTGCCCCTGAACTGCCCCGGCCCTGGCCCGGCTCTGCCCCGGCCCTGCCCCGGCCCTGCCCCGGCTCTGCCCCGGCCCTGCCCCGGCCCTGCCCCGGCCCTGCTCCTGAACTGCCCCGGCCCTGCTCCTGAACTGCCCCGGCCCTGCCCCTGAACTGCCCCGGCCCTGGCCCGGCTCTGCCCCGGCCCTGCCCCGGCCCTGCTCCTGAACCGCCCCGGCCCTGCCCCGGCCCTGCCCCGGCTCTGCCCCGGCCCTGCCCCGGCCCTGCCCCGGCCCTGCTCCTGAACTGCCCCGGCCCTGCCCCGGCCCTGCTCCTGAACTGCCCCGGCCCTACCCCGGCCCTGCCCCAGCCTCTCCCCTGGTAAGAGTGCCGCGCTGCCGAGCCACGCCGCCCTGCCTAGCATGCTTAGCCGAGTTGCACTGCTGCTGCTGCTAGCCTGCTGCTTCTCCTGTCATGGCTAGTCTCAATGTTCTTACCTTTGATGCTGAGGGTCGAGCTGTTGACTTTGAGGTCTGGCTAGATGATCTGCAGCTTTTCCTATAGTGCGATAGCAAGGATGGTCTCTCACTGTTCGATCTCACGTCCGGCGCCTCTACTGCCCCTACTGCTGATGCTGACAGTACTGTTCGCTCGCAGTGGCTCACGCGCGATGCTGCTGCTCGTCTTGCTGTGCGCAATCACCTGCCGTCTACTGAGCGCGCGCACTTTAGTCAGTACAAGAGTGCTAGGGCTCTGTACGACGCTGTAGTTGCACGCTACTCCTCCCCTACCACTGCTGCCCTCAGCCGCCTCATGCTGCCGTACCTTTTTCCTGACCTTGCCGCCTTTGCCACAGTTGCTGACCTAGTTGCTCACCTCCGCACTAGTGACGCTCGCTACCGCGCTGCCCTTCCCACTGAGTTTCTTCCCACGAACTCCCCCCCCATGTACATCACCCTTTACTACCTAGTCACCCGCCTCCCTGACTCTCTCTCCTCAGTCAGGGATCCCTTTCTCTCCCTTTGCCCTACCGAGCTGACTGTCGACTTGCTAGAGGAGCGCCTTGCTGCAGCTGAGAAGAGTATCTTAGCTGTTGGGGCTTCTCGCGGCGACCGTCGCACCCCCTTCTTTGAGGGGTGTTCCCCTGTCCCCCTTCTCCCCTCTGTTGCCTCTGCTGCTGCTGTCGACCTCGTTGGCACTGAGGAGGTCGGCGCTGCGTCTGCCCCTAGTGGGCGACGCCGCACTGGCAAGGGCAAGGGAAGAAAGGGTGGTGGAGGGGGCGGTGGAGGAAGCGGTGGAGGAGGTGGAG